ACCTCTCGGCAGGTTAAGAGGAATTAGTGCGGTGTTATTGGCAAAATGAGACAAAAAAAAAATGCTAGTGTACATCCTTAGTAGGGTATTACATGGAGTTAAGAAGAAATACTTGATAGTAGAAAAGCTAGTTTTGTCTCTAGTTTACAAATCAAGACGACTAGGTAGGTACTTTCAAGAACACCCAATATTGGTGTTAACAAATCAACCCATAAAGTAGATCCCGATGAAGCCATACCGGTTAGGCCACATGAAGAAATGGGTAATTTAATTGGGTGAGCATGATATAGTCGATAAACCCAGAGATAGTATCAAAGGTCAGGCTCTAGTAGATCTCTTAACACAAATACCTGATGACCCGGGACGCCTCTCAGCACCTACGATAAAAGATGTAAAGAGGTTAAATGGAATGATAATAACTTTGGTGCATTTCTTAACCAAGTATACCGAGCAAACACTACCTTTCTTCCAGAAGTTAAAAACTCACACGGAGAAGAAAAACATCGAATGGACAGAAGAGGCCAAGGAGGCTTTTCAAAGTTAAATGCCTTCGACACTTACTTACCCTGGCGAGTCCTAACGTAGGGGAGACACTCATCATATACCTCTCGGCAGGTTAAGAGGAATTAGTGCAGTGTTATTGGCAAAATGAGACAAAAAACAGATGCCAGTGTACTTCATTAGTAGGGTATTACACGGAGTTAAGAAGAACTACTTGATAGTAGAAAAGCTAGTTTTGTCTCTAGTTTACGAATCAAGACGACTACGTAGGTACTTTCAGGAACACCCAATATTAGTGTTAACAATCAACCCATAAAGTAGATCCTGATGAAGCCATAGTGGTTAGGCCGCATGAAGAAATGGGTAATTGAATTGGGTGAGCATGATATAGTATATAAACCCAACGATAGTATCAAAGGTTAGGCTCTAGTAAATTTCTTAACACAAATGCCTGATGACCCGAGACGCCCCTCAGCACCTACCGATGGTAACATTGGTCATCTACAGATACCGAACCAAATCGCCTCGGGGGTGTTGGACGTTGTATACAGATGGAACATCTAGTAAAGATGGTTCATGCTGGGGGGGTTATCCTCACTAGCCTACAGGGGGATAATTCGACTTACACACTCAGATTTGAATTTAAATGTTTGTATAATGAAGCAGAATATGAAGCCTTACTCACAAGAATATGCTTGGCAAGAAGTATGAATGATCTGGACCTGAAGATATTTAGTGATTTGATGCTCATGATGAATCAAATAAAAGGTGATTAAGAATCCAAAGAAGCACACATACAAAAATGTCTTGGTCAATCTAAAGAATGGATCAGGAAGTTTGAGAGATTTGAAATAATGCAAATCCCAAGATTGTGAAACAAATAAGCAGATGTCCTGAGCAAGCTAGCATCGTTGGTGTTCCACCATCTCTCCAAAAGTGTTCTGGTAGAAGTGTTATCCAATAGAAGTATCGAAGGAATAGCCATAGAGGTGATGCAATTATCAAAAGAAAAAGACTCATGAATGACACCATACATCCTATTCCTCGAAAAGGAATATTTCCCGTCAATGATAAGGAAGCAAAGACAATAAAAATAAACATGCCAAACTACACCATGTATGGAAGTAGCTTGTATCAAAAGGGGTATTCCACCCCATAGCTAGAATGAATCACAAGGAAAGAAAGGGAGGTTGTAATTTGAGAAGTACATTAAGGTGTATGTGGCGTACATGCGGGATCAAGGGATATCACTAAGAAAATCCTACGAATAAGATACTCCTGGCCTTCTGTAACTAAGGATACGAACACATTCATAGCAAAATGCCACGACTACCAAATACACATAATCCCCGCCCTACCACCAACAGAGACGACAAGTATTACCAGTTCGTGGCCTTTCTTTCAATGGTGAATTAATATTGTTGGACCAGTTCCAAAAGCACCGGGAAGGTTGAAATTCTTGATTGTAGCAGTGGATTATTTCACCCAGTGGGTCGAAGCCGAGGCGGTAACTATAATCTCTAGAAAGAAGATAACAAGGTTTATTTGGAAACAGATTGTATATCGTTTTGGTCTGCCACACACCATCATTAGTGATAATGGAAACTAGTTTGTAAACAATCCTTTCAAAAGTTTGTGTCAGGAAAAAGGAATCAAACAAAATTTCACTTCAGTGGCACACCCACGGGCGAACGGGTAGGTGGAAGTTACAAAGAAAACTCTGGTAAAGGGGATAAAGAATAGATAAAAAAAAACTAAATGAAACTAGTTGGATGAGTTACAGAATGTGCTATGGTCCTACAAAACAATGACACAAATATCGACTAAGGAAACACCATTCAGTCTGGTATATAGAACGGTAGTAGTTATCCTGATAGAAGTCACCATATGAAGCACACGAAGAAGGAATTCTCAGAGAAGCACGAATAAGGTGGACCTCAGAGAGAATCTCGATTTTTTGGAAAACGAAGAGGAGATGCAACCATACGACAAGAAGATTATAAGATGATGATGTAGACGTATTACAACGCAAGATCAAGGGAGGAGCATGTAAAGTAGGGGAGTTGGTCCTGTAAAAAAATGAAGCCAATACACAAGAACACAATGGAAAATTAAGTCCAAACTAGGAAGAGACGTATCGAGTTGTGGAAGCGAGACAAAATGCCTCCTATGTTCTTGAGAATATAGACAGACTCATGTTTCCAATAGCATGGAATATGAGAAATCTACACCTATTCCACTTTTGTAGAAAAGACGAACAAGCAAGCATATCAATAGAGACGGCTTGAGACCCAATACAATTAGGAAACTATCACATTTTGTATGTAGGAAAATTGTACTCTTGAATGAAATATCTCACACTTTTGCTTTCCATATCATACCTCGAATTATGTTTCAATATAAATTTTAACATCGGTATGCTCTACTACACCATACCTCGACGATGTACATACGTACCTCGAACTATAAGTTTGTAACTTATAGTTCAGTATAAATTTTAACATCGGTGTGATCCGACACATCATACCTCAATGATATAACTATTTACCTCAAACTATAATTTTATAAGTTATAGTTCAATATAAATTTTTACATCGATATGATCTGCCACATCATACCTCGATATTGTACATATTTACCTCGAACTATAAGTTTGTATCTTATAGTTCAGTATAAATTTTAACATCGGTATGATCTGGCACGTCATAACTCAATGATGTACATATTTACCTCGAACTCTAAGTTTGTAACTTATAGTTCAATACAAATTTTGACATCAGTATGATCCGCCCGTCATACCTTGATGATGTGAATATTTACTATGAACTATAAGTTTGTAACTTATAGTTAAATATAAATTTTAACATCGGTATGATCTGCCACATCTTACCTTGATGATGTATATATTTACCTTGAACTATAAGTTTGTAACTTATAGTTCAGTATAAATTTTTACATTGTTATGATCCGCCACATCATACCTCAACGATATACATATTTACCTCGAACTAACTTATAGTTCAGTACAAATTTTAACATCGGTATATTTTCCACATCATACCTCGATGATGTACATATTTACCTCGAACTATAAGTTTATAACTTATAATTAAAAATAAAATTGAACATTGGTATGATCCCCCACATCATACCTCAATGTTATACATATTTACCTCGAACTATAAGTTCGTAACTTATAGTTTCGTACAAATTTTAACATCAATATGATCTACCACATCATACCTCAATGATGTACATATTTACCTCAAACTATAAGTTTGAAACTTATCATTCTGTAAAAATTTTAACATCGGTATGATCCGCCACATCATACCTCGATGATGTACATATTTATCTCGAACTATACATTTGTAACTTATAATTCAATATAAAATTTAACACCAGTATGATCCACCACATCACACCTTAATGATATAAGTATTTACCTCGAACTATAAGTTTATAACTTATAGTTCAGTACAAGTTTTAACATTGGTATGATCCACCACATCATACCTCGATGATGTACATATTTACCTTGAACTATACGTTTGTAACTTATTTTTCAGTACAAATTTTAACATCGGTAGGATCCGCCACATCATACCTCGAAGATGTACATATTTACATCAAACTATAAGTTTGTAACTTATAGTTCAACATAAATTTTAACATCAGTAGGATACGCCACATCATACCTCGATGATGTACATATTTACCTGAAACTATAAGTTTATAACTTATAGTTAAGTATAACTTTTAACAATGGTATGATCCGTCAGATTATACCTCGATGATGTACATATTTACCTCGAACTATAAGTTTGTAACTTATAGTTCAGTATAAATTTTAGTAGGATCAGCCACATCATATGTTGATGATGTACATATTTATCATGAACTATAAGTTTGTAACTTATAGTTTAGTGCAAATTTTAACATCAGTATGACCCGCTACATCATACCTCGATGACGTATATATTTACCTCAAACTATAACTTTGTAACTTATAGTTCAGTATAATTTTATCATCGATATGATCCGCCACATGATACCTTGATGACATATATACGTATCTCAAACCATAAGTGTGTAATTTATTGGCATCAACTCAAACTAAAAAGTTTGGAATAAGGGTCTCATTACAATGATTGCACATTGATTATGAAGACGAAACAGAACTGCCTAACTGTTATCAAACTTAAAACCAATAATGCATGATTAACATATGTTTAACCTAAATGATAAGTTCATAACTTATCACTTAGGAGGTGATACCACAAGGAGAGAGTCTAATTCTTCATAATCAAAATTTATTTCAAATCCAACGACTAAACGATACACAAAAATTGAAACGGATAGAAGGCATGTACTTTGAGTGAAAATTTTAAATGGTTACATAATTTAGCCAACACGGGCACATAAATATCCATATAACATTACAGAAAAAAGAGAGACAAAGTGAAAATAAAAGGAAATGATGCATGACTGTCAACATGCTAAATACTGCCAGAAGCATCATTAGGATTCGAAGGGGTATTAAAAGTGCACAACTTCTCCCTTAAAAGATTGAGGTCCACAACATCTCCTTCTAAAAGCTCGAACAAGGAATACATGTGGGTCACCATATTTGGAAACCGGTCCAGCACTTGATATTGAGCATCGTAGTATGAATAAAGAAAATTCTTCGCTTCCAAATCATCAACAAATTTTTCCTTCATCTCTATACATGCCTGATGAAGGACGAGCTGAATAGTTGTTGTCTTCACTACAACATTGAGATCTCCAAAATCCGTAGAGTTCAATAAAGCATGAACGAAGGAGTTAGTGCCCTCCTGCATCAACCACCGAAGCTCAAAGGATCTGATTACGTCTGCTAAGGTTAAACAAGATTCATTTTGTAGAAGGGAGGTTTGGGTTTGATTCAATTGAAGGATGTGTGCATCCCTATCACCAAGATGCCCCTCCTAAATAGCAAGTTATTCCACTAACATCTTAATACATACATCTTTGTTAGAGTAGGAGATCTCCAGCTCCGAGAGTTTCTGTAGCACCTGGTTCCTGGTACGTAAAATTTATCTAAGTATTTGCAATTTTAGCCTTGGACTCGGCGAGTTGTTGGCCCGACTCGCAGAGTAGAGACGGGATATGGAACACGTTTAAGTTGGCGACTCGGGGAGTCCGTATCCTAGACTCGGCGAGTCCCCGCTGTCTGATGAAACCCTAAATTTCAAGGGTTTTCACCCTATTTAAACCAACCTTATGCGCCCCAACCTAGCCCCCTTCACCCTCAGAGCTCCCAACACCATCCAAACCCTTATTTCTTGAGAGATTGAAGTGCTTTGGTGTGTTTCTTGAAGATTTTGAGAGAAAAGAAGAGTAGATCAAGAAGACAAGAAGGAGGCCAGACATTCTTGTGTTATTTCAGTGATTTCCTTCTGGTAAAACTTAGTTTCCTCTGTTTGCATGCTTATATTCCTTTGTAGCTCCATTAAAGTCCTTCTTGAGCCATTTCCAAGCTTGTTTTCGAGTTACGGTTTGTAATAAGTTGATTAACCCTTAGGTCTAGGCATGATTGAGCTCCAGGAGCTCAGATCTACTGCCTTTATGGAGCCATATTGCATGAAAGCCCTATATCTACTCTTTTAGTGCATTTTGAGTCCTAAAACCTTCATTGGTGTTTATTTACATGTAAAGTTGTATGTATGGCACGAGCTGGTTTCAAGCAAAATCGAGTATGTAGTATTTGCATGAGAAAGACTTGGCGAGTCATTTATCGGACTCGGCGAGTCGAGTCGCGAGTCCCCGAGTTTTCCCCCTTTTCGTGTTTACTGGGTGGAGTAGTGAGTCATGGGATGTGAATCAGTGGGTCGGAAGCCAGACTCACTGATGAAGGAACTCGGCGAGTCAATGCCTTGACTCGGCGAGTTTAAGACAATCTTCTTGCCTCAAGAACAGACTCGGCGAGTTGTTCATACAACTCGGCGAGTCTCAACATAGAATGTTCTTCGGATGAAGATGGACTCGACGAGTTGTTCATACAACTCGGCGAGTAGGATGAAGGACTATTGGACATCGGTTTAAAAGGAAAACTCATCGAGTCAATGCTTGACTCGACGAGTAGAGACGGGATTATGGTCAATTGAATGGATAGGGACCCGACGAGTTGCCGAGCCAACTCGGCGAGTCGGGTCAACTGGAAGTCGACTTTGACTTTGACTCTTGGTTTGGTTAGGGGTAAATGGTCATTTTACCCTGAGGTTGGTTAGCAGTATTTGACTGAGTGTTTGGTGGGAATTGCAGCCGGAGGATTTCCAGAGCAGCAGTAATAGACAGATCGTTCCCACGCATATCAACAACTACTACGAGGTGAGTTACCTTCTAGTAGCGATGGGTCTAAGACCACAATACCGGCCCACCAGTAGGAGACGTATGATAGATGATTGTGTTTGTGATATCAGCTAGGTTTGCTACTACCTGATATGTTATATGCTAGCATGATATGTTGTATGTGATAGTAGAAGAGTTCGGTTGTTAGGACTGAAGGGTAGTCAGACATCCCAGATACATCTGATAGTATGTGACGATATGTTTGCATGCTGGCTTGTTATGTTATATGCGATAGAGGTAGTAGGAGGGGGACCAGTCCCCGAGTTTGATTGATAGGATCGAAGGGTAGTTCAGGCACCCCAGATATCTCTGATAATATGTTATGTTATGATGTATGTGATAGTAGCAGTGGGGGTGAAATAGTCCCCGAGGATCGGTTGTTAGGGATGATGGTTAGTCAGCACCCCCAGAATGGCTTGACATGGGTAGTCAGCACCCCAGAATGGCCGTACTGGTTAAGTCGGGCACCCCAGAATTGCCCAACAGTATGTATGATATATGATTGTATGGTATGTGGTATGATGGGGGAAACCACTAAGCTTCATGCTTACAGTTTTCAATTTTGTTTTCAGGTACATCTTCTTCGAAGGGGATGGAGCTGGCATGGTAGTGGCACATCACACACACGCTTTGTATTCTGCACTATGAGATCCTCCTAGGGATTTGTACTTTGACATTGTTATGTTTTTATAAACTGGTTTCCAGACACGCACATCTTTTATGAAATGATATGATCGGTGAATGATTTATTTCTAATGTTTTGCTAACTATGTGTTTTAAAAATGAAATTTTTGGCTCGTATCTTTGGGACGTTACGGTTTCTTAGTAAATCAGAGCTTTAGGGACTAAAATTGTTGAGTCTTCTCCTCCAATTCTCTAGAGAGCACCAAACGATAACCAATGGCATAATCTGCTTTGATCTGAAGATCGGTATTCAAATTCTTCAACTCATTTTGGTAGCGAATACTTTCACTTAGGTCATTCACAAGAAGAACATTCCCTTCAGAAATCCCTTGCACCCTTTTCCAGAGTTCATGTGCTTTCTGTTCAGTTTGTTCATGAATCTTGCCAAGCTCTTTTAACTATCCTATGCCCTCTTCAAATGTAACCTGACGTTGGAAAATAAGCTATGTTTGGACCTTGGTATGAGCAAATACTTCATTAAGTAGACGAATACCCTCCATTATATGAGAACGATATTTGCCAACGGTTTCTTCGTCGGAAGCACTCGCTAGCTCAGGACTTCTACGAATGATAGTGGTAGTAAAAGGATGTTGAAACTGAGGAAGTGATGCAACAAGATTGGCCAAGGTAGGAATCGAAGCTTTCTTACCATAAGACGGGATCATTGTAGTGAACAAGCAAAGAAGAAAAAAGAACAGTACCTGATAAATCTGCTCACAAGAAAAAAGAACAGTACCTGATAAATCTGCTCACAAGAAGTCATATATAGATACACATAAAAAACAGTGAAAGAAACTTACGATTTATGCTAGACGTAGAGGATTTGGTTCAAAAGAAGGTTTAGTAGAGGAAGTGTCTATAAGCATCAACGAAGACCCAAGGATATCAGATTCCATTTTAAAGGATTCGCAATAACAACAGTAGCTTCCATAGTAGTGGCCTGAAAATGACCAAGTTTTTCCCCAAATAACTTTTGGCAAAAAATCTCAGCAGCAGACAAAGCAGAGGTAATAGAACCTCTTGAAAAAGGATGAGATACCTCTATGCCAATTAGACCCTTAGATGAAATAGCAACGATAAGGGGGACTTCCATTTGGCTTGAGGAAGTGGAATAAAATTTAATAGAATGAACATCAGATTTCAATAAGGGGGTATTATCCTCAACATGTTTTAGCCCATGGTCAATGATCACAGGACAGTCATGAAGAGCAGAGGATGTATGGGTCTCTACAGGGTCGTTGGACTCAAAAGATGTAGGAGGAACCTAGGGGTCGAGTTCTCCGGATTCCTTTAACTTTGGTTCAGGAGTCCAGAATTTATGGTCAGCGGATCAGGACGATTCATTACCCCTCCAAGGAAACCATTTTTTCTGAACCAATTTTCCTTTTTAACAAGCCTTTTGCAGCAACCCTAGTAGAGGAGGACAGAGGTTTCCCACTCAATGACTCCATCGTCACATTTTTCTTCATCGGAAAATAGGCGTTTGATACTAAATCTTCTAAAGACGGAGGATTCACGGTGGAATCCATGCTCAATTCTTAGAGAGAAGGGGAGTCAAGTATAATAACTTCTTTGACAACCACATATGAATCGATTAACCGTTTCTTATGCAAGCGATCTAGCAAAGTTACTTCTCGACCGGCCATAGTTTCAACAAGTTTCTTACCTAATCCGTTCCAAACAGGACTTACACCAACTATACCTAGGGTTACTTCTTCTGGATCTGCCCACTTAACATAGTTCTGAGCCAAAAGACCAATGCTTTCTCGCTGTTCAGTGGATCATTCGGGCGGAGCATCAGAACCCCTATCACCAGTAGCCCCATATACCATGAGGCCAGGGAAAGAAGAAGTGTAAACAAAGAAGAATTCCTCTTTCCACCCTTTGACGAAAGTAGGAAGCCCATCACAAAGTTCTACCAGGCCATGACACAGGGAAAAGGAGACCAAATCACCATTAGACATGGTAATATAGAAATGATGACATAGAGTTATAAAGGGAGGGATATTTAGAGTAGAGAACAAGAGCATGTAACATATCACCTTTCGAAAACCATTAGGAGAAATTTGAGTGATGTACAATTGGTAGTAGTCAAGAATCACTTTAAGAAAATCAGGGATAGGGAGGCGAAGCCTTGATTTGAAGTGAACCCTATATACTCCAACAAAGCCAATAGGTTTGCCATGTTGCTTGGGGTTGTCGCCTAATCATCAGTTCTCATGGGGTTTAGGGCTTCGGGAAAGGAAGGATTTAGCCTGTTCCAGATGTAGTTGCCATGGTTTAAGTTATCCATGTATTCGGTTGTGTCTTCGGAAGCAAAGGGCATGACTATAAATTTTTATCGTGATCTTTATGGGTTTTGGGCTTTGTTTGGAAGGTTTTAAAGGTTGGGGGTATTACTTGGAGCGTAGGGCTTCTCACCATATTTTCATCGATATAAGGTTCGTTAGAAACGCACCTTGGATGAGTGAGTTATGAAAAATTTGAAGTTATTCACAGAATTGGCCCTTGGATGGAAAAGCTTGCAAATCATTCCCATGCCTGCAAGGATGCATGCGCGTGTTTAGTTGGGTACACCCAGCATATAAAGATGAATGGTCGATGGTGGTTATTGAGTACGCCGGACGTACTAAGGGGTAAAGGGGGCATACTCCCTTAAGACCAAAACCCTAATTTCGGGGTTACTACCTTATTTAAGCAACATTATACCACTCCTTAGGTCATTTTAAATCGGCCACCACCCCTTATTATGTCCATAACACCCTTGATTGCCTTAGATGAAGCTTGGAGCTTGAAAGAAGACTTTTGGTGGTTTGTGCAAGAGGAGAAGGAGGTGAAAGACTCAACCTATGGAGAAGAGCTTGAAGATCCAGTGCTAACATCTTGATTTCAAGAATTTCAATGTATAAAGTCTATAACTTGGCTATTCATTTCATAGATCTACTTTGGTTTGGTTTTTGGCCATCTTAGTCCATTTTTGCTTGGTCTTGATGAGCTAGGGTTATTTTAGGGGCTTAATCTTCTAGATTTGGACATTCTAAGGTTCCCTCTCTCATAAAGGTGCAAGCTTTGTGGATATTTTGAGTTCAATCATGAATCAAAACCATCCATTAAGCTCTTTTGAGCTCTAGAGTCCCATTAAGCCATGCATGTCAACTTTACTTTAAAAGTCACCTTTAGGAATCAGATTGGAGAGTTGGAGAAAGGGTTGAAGTGATTAAGTGCTTATTGAAGAAGTTTTGTGTACAGGGGAGTATGTTAGGCGTACCCACATGGTACGCAGTGCGTACTAGCCCCAACGGGTGTACTCTTAGCGTACCAGATGAGTACGCAAGGCGTACTCGACCAGGTTAGGCTTTATTAAATTATTAACTTTTTGAGCTTTGGACCTTGGACCAAGAGTTGATTATGGTTGACCATTCAGTATTCCAGGCCTTTCTGGAAGTTGGGCCTTCTTGGGTTAGGTCCATGATGGATTTGGGCCTTATTGTGCCTTGTGGGCCATTTCGAGTTCAAGATTTCTTATGGGCTTGTAAGTGCATGGATTTTGTTGGACCAGGTAAGGATGTATATTTGGTATGGGAATAAGTTCTTATGCTTTAGGGTAAGGCCCATGTAAGGGTTTAGGTCCAATTTAGCCAATTAGGCTATTAGTGGGCTGTAACGACCCAATTTTCACGTCCTAAAATTTCATTTTTGATTAAGTAATTTACAAAACATTTGTAACAAAATATCATCCAATCATATCATTTAATAAAAACATGTCTCGTATCTGTAAACTGAATCGTAAAAACATAATAATGTCAGAGTACAAATCCCAGAATAACTCAGAGTGCGGAAAACAAAGAGTGTGTGTATGATGTGCCGCTACCGCACCAGCTCCTTCCCCTTCGCTGAAGAGGTACCTGAAACGAAAACTGTAAACTATAAGCACAAAGCTTAGTGAGTTCCCCCATCGTACCACATTCCATACAATCACATAGCATACATAATGTCGGGCAATTCTAGGGTGCCCGACCTACCTGGTACGGCCATTCTGGGGTGTCGACCTACCCATGCGGCCATTCTGGGGTACCGTCCTACCCATGCGGCTATTCTGGGGTGTCGTCCTACCCATGTCAAGCCATTATGGGGTGCTGACCTACCCGTCAGTCCTAACAACCGACCCTCGGGGACTATTCCACCCCTACTGCTACTATCACATATATCATAACATAAACATACTACCAGACATATATGGGGTGTCCGAACTACCCTTCGGTCCTAACAACCGAACTTGGGGACTATTCCCCTCCTACTACTGCTATCACAAATAACATATCATGCCATCATATAACATATCAACACATATTATCAGACATATCTGTGGTGTCTGACCTACCCTTCGGTCCTAAAAACCGAACTCTACTACTATCACATATAACATATCATGCCAGCATATAACATATCAGGTAGTAGCAAACCTAGATGATATCACAAAGACAATCATTTAATCATACAACTCCTACTGGTGGGCCGACAATGTGGTTATAGACCCACCGCTACTGGAAGGTAACTCACCTTGTAGTAACTACTGATCTGTGCGAGAATCCTCTGACTGCTGCCGCCGCTACTCCGGCAATCCTCCGACTATAATTCCCACAAAACACTTAGTCATACGCTGCTAACTGTTCTTAGGGTAAAAAGACCATTTTACCCCTGACCAAATCAAAGTCAAAGTCAACTTCTAGTGGCCTGACTCACAGAGTTGGCTCGCCAACTCGCCGAGTCCCTATCCTTCCATTTGTCCTTATAATCGTCTCTACTCGTCGAGTTAGGTGATGACTCAATGAGTTTTCCTTCTAAATGAACATCGACAAAATCCTCATCTGACTCGCTGAGTTGTATGAACAACTCGTCGAGTTCATCTTCAACTGATACACAGGTCCTATCCTTGACTCGCCGAGTTGTATGAACAACTCGTCGAGTTCATCTTCATCATTAAGGAGTTTTCCTTGGACTTTCCGACTCTGCTCATGCACTCACCGAGTCCCATGAACTTCCAGAACAATGGCTTAGTCCAAAATGTTGGGTCACTCCCCGGGACCCCCTAAAACCTTTCCACACTCAACTGGGTCCTTTTAACCCTCAACTGATATGGGATAGAAACCTTGGACTCGCCGAGACCAAGAAGGGACTCTTCGAATTGGTCACCTCCACTCACTAAATCTTCGATTTCTGATGTACAACCCTTGATCAAAAGATAGATTTATGCTTCTACAAATGATCTAGCACATAAAGTTACAACCTTTACGTGCTTGCATGGGACTATGAGCTCAAAAGGTCCTTAAACAAGCTCTTTCAATGCATGGGGCCTTCTTTGAGTGCAAGAGCCACTCCTTTCAACCTTGTAACCCCTTTAAGGACCTAAACCCGAAACATCAACCCCAAACCATGCTTGCAATCATGGTTGGTGACCAAAATGGCTTAGACAATCCCTAAAACTCCACAAAATGGGATCTATCAAAAGAACAAAAAAAGGTATAGACTTTATACCTTCTGAAGACTGCAAATGATGCTCAAAATCGGATACTTCTAGCCTCCTCTTGACCCTTCAAGCTTTTGCTTCCTTCCTTGGTTCTCAAAAGCACCAAAATCAATCCAAATGCCTTAGATTGCTTCAATAACGGCTAGGGTTTGCTATGGGGTGTCTTCTGGGAGCAAATGGGACGAAGGAGGCGAGTTAAGGTGTTTAAATAGGGTGCAAACCCTCGGGTTAGGGTTTTTGTCCAGACAGGGCCTACTCGCCTAGTCTGGGACCTGACTCATCGAGTCCGCAGCTTAAACCCCGCATCTCATCCCGCTTCTACTCGGCGAGTTAGTCCTTCAACTCGTCGAGTCCAAGGCCAAAATGCAAAAGTATAAATAAAAGAATACGTACCAAGAACCAGGTGCTACATGGTCCTTTATTGATTTTGGAGTTTTGGGCTTGGACCTTAGTTATGAATTTTGTTGGGCCAAGGATAAAATGGTCATTTTACCCCAAGTATTGATTATGGATCATGGTTTGGGACCCAATTGCTAATTGGGTGATATTTTGGTATTGATAGCTCGAGGAGTTGCCAGGGCAGCTGCTAAGGATTTCTTGCGTTGAACTTCAGCAGTGCGAGGTGAGTTACCTTCCCGGTATAAGTGGGTCGAAGGTACCAATATCGGCCCACTAGTAGTTGTTTATAATAGAGATGATTGTCTTTTTGAAAATTGTCTTGTATGCTATGTTATTACATAGTAGTGGTAGGGGGTGAAGCATACCCTGTAACTGGCCGATAGAGACCGAAGGGGTAGGCCAGCACCCAGATATGCTAGGCGGTATGTGATTTATGTGCTTATATGCTAGGATATTATGTGGTAGTGGTAATGTGAAATAGACCACATAACCGGTTGAAAGGGACCGAAGGGGTTGGCCAGAACGCACATATGCTAGATAGTTATTGGTTGAAAGAGATCGAAGGGGTAGGCCAGCACCCTGATATGCTAGGAAGTGTCGGTTGAAAGAGACTGAAGGGGTAAGCTAGCACCCAGATATTCTAGGCAGTACGTTTATTATATGGTATGTGGTATGATGGGGGAACTCACTAAGCTTCATGCTTACAGTTTTCAGTTTTGGTTTCAGGTACTTCTATTCGAAAAGGAAGGAGCCAACATGATCACAGCGCATCACACTATGATTTTCCGCACATGAGATCTTTGGGAGTTGTGCTCTGATGTTGTTTTCTTACGACATGTTTTGGATATTAGTTTTGATTATGATATGGGATAACACTATTGATGTTTTCAGACTACTTGTTTTTATAATTACGTAATTAAAAATGACATTTGTGGTCATGAATTTTGGGATGTTACAAGTTCGTATCAGAGCCCTGTTTAAGGGATTTAAACACACTCTTGGGTATGTCTGGACTCAAATCGAGGGTTTGAGAGATTT